TTAAATTTAGATGATAAATAAGATGGCGCATACCATTTTAAACATTTAAAAGTCATTAAGGCTATCTGTTCATTCCACTTTACATGTAGTCGTTTCCATGCAAGTGAACTTAACATAACATCAACGGAAGTATAAATATCAAACAACAAAACAATTCTACATAATCTGTTCATTTGAACTTGTAAACAATTAGAATATTGAACATTACAATTTGACCAGACACAACAACAATAATCAAAAAGAGGTAATACTAAGGACTTGGAAAGCATTTTAAGAGTATGGGGTGGAAGTAGGTATTTTATACGGCGGATGACACCAATACGCTTAGACAAATTTGAAGATAATTTATTTATGTGGTCTTTCCAAGTTAGTACAGGATCAAAAGTTACACCTAAGTATTTAAAAGAATCAACTCTTTCAATAATATCATCATTCAAATTAAGTGAAATATCTTTAAATTTTAGGAAGAATGTAGTTTGTTCCAAATAACATTAATTTTGTTTTCTTTATATTAATAATTAATTTATTTTCATTGAACCAGTCAGCTATTTTAGTTAAACAAGAATTTAGTTCTTGTTGTAGAGTGACTGGGTCAGATGATGATTAAATCTGTTTAACATTGATTTTAAAGGTGACCTCACTTTCCATTTAGCATAGCTCTGTACATTTGGTCTATAATAGAAGCTCATCTGCCAGACAGAGAGCATGGAAACAATAACCATGAAAAGAAACCATGTGCTAAGAAAGGAGCCTGATAACATCACACGCACATTTTTGCATTGGACTCCAGAGGGAAAAAGAAAGAGAGGCAGGCTTAAAAATACATGGAGAACAGTTGAAGCAGATATGAGAGACTCGAGGCACTCATGGGAGTCCTTAAGCTGGGCTTATGTCGCCCTTGTGACTCGACCCAACGCAACTCAACTGACATCAACTAACCTTTGGCAACTTGCCAGCAACTGGCAAGCATCTGAGAGCAACTAAGAGTTGCGCGACTGAAAAGCAACTGGAAATCACCAGTTGCCCTCAGTTGCTCATGTTCTATATTGTAGCGATTCAAAGCAACTGGCGAGTGACTGAAAAATCTACTGCGCATGTCAATTATAAAGTTACGTCTACCGCTGAAAATAATTTGGCGTGGTTTATGTAAAATGTAATGGACTTCTGTAATACCATAAAACTTTGAATTGAAGCCCTGGGCTTCTTGTTTTTTTTTTTATTATTTATTTAATTTTTTTTTTAAACCTTTGGATAGGCTTCTTTTTGAGGCTACTTTTGCAAAGTAAAGAGAGGCTTCTTTTCAAAATGAATACTGTAAATTTTGTGAATTTGTACTACTAAACAATTAAATACGGCCACTTTAACATCAATCTGTATCATGGAGTGTATTCATTTAACTGGCATTAAATCACCTAAACTACTGTATAAGCCAAGCTTTTTTTTAATTTATTTTGTTTTCTGAAATTCATGCACAGTGTATATTACTGTACTATATCGAAAAGAAGCCTACAGTATGCTGTCTTGAAAACAGGGAACAGGGAACTGTTCCCTGCTTTAAAAGAATCCCATGGGCTTCTTTTTAGAGGCTTATTTTGCAAAATAAAGAGGGGGCTTCAATTCGAGATGGGCTTCATCTCAAGATTAAGCCCACTGGGCTTTAATTCAAGGTTTTACAGTATGTCATTTCATGTAACAAATAATAACCATAATAGCCTATTATTGTGCCTATTATAGTCATAATAGCAGGCCTACAAATGCACAACCATTGACCATTAGCCATTTTGCGATTTTTAGTAAACATTCTTTTTAGACATCATTTACAGGTCATTAGAAAATGATCTCAGGGCTGGTAAAAATAAATCCTTAGCAATATTGGCTTTATTAATGTGATTAGCGAAACTGAAGTTTAATTAGCACTGAAACAGACTGATTGAAAATATTTAGCCATAACTAGTACAGTATTAGCCTATCTAGACTAGATTAGTTTATAAAATTGAGGGAAGTCTGTGCAACATGTTTTATTTTTAACAGTTTTAAACAAATGCAATTCATTTTTTAGGCACAAGCTATAATACAATTATAATAATTGATAAAATTTCTAAATGTAAAGGTATTTATAGCAAATGGTACAGTATTGGCATATTATTCACTTTGTTTTCCATTTTGATAACAACATGCATTGTTTTTATAATAATTTATATATGCCTATTAATGTAGGATTTTTGCTTTAATTTATACATTTTGAAAAGGTATATATATATATATATATATATATATATATATATATACTAATTGGCCCCGCAATACAATGTATTGGCGACCGTTTCTGAGGGTTTCATGAAACATAATACAGGAAGGGAACATCATACTGCTAATAACAGTAAGATACAAATGGCCTAGACATAGGCCCTAATTATTTAAGATAAACATATTTGAATGTACTTTGAATGTTAACTTTGAAAAGTCAAATATTTTGGTTACAGGAAAGCCTGTTGATGAAGAAGAATGGAAATTAGGAAAGTGTTAAATTTCTGAAGCAGAAGTTATCTTTGGATAATTATATGGCCATGTTAAATACAAAATTATCCTAAAAGGCTCAATAATTAAATTTGAGGCTTACAAATCAATTACTGGTAACTTTGACAATGTTAACAGTGTATGCAGACATTTTGTGACAATCAATTACACTAATACCTATTTCACACTGATGCTATTTTGCAAATATTAACAACTTGTAACAAGTTGTAACCAGGTTTGGATGAGTATGAAAGCAAATCCTTGTAAAACTTTCCGAGATTTCACAGGGGTCCCCTGACCCACTTTACTTGTGATACTGAAAATGAAAAGTTTCAATTGTGTTACCTCAACTCTTTCCTTGTGTTTTTTCTGAGCTTTTTCTAAAATTCTTTGGGCTTTCTGTAGAGAGAAAAGGAAAATATGAGGAATTTAGTTTAAAAAACAACATTATGAAAAATACTAGACAAACTTTATCAGTTTTTAGTAGACGTAGCCACATTCATACTGGATGCAAACTGACAGTCAGCAGAACATCTTAAACTCACGGTTGTCAATCTTGGGTCTACTGTCCCCTTGGGGGTTGGTAGGTGCATTCAGGTGGTCAGTATAGTCAAGGGGTCATTGAAATGTATGGGAGTCAAGAACACAAGGGATCTTTGGCGATCAACCATGTTCATGTAATGCACTTGTCAATTGTAGTAAATTTGTGAACCGTGTATTTGACCTTGTTTGCGTCAAAAATTCACCAGTAGTGAGCCTGGGCAAGGAAATATGTTCTACTGTATTAATTTTCTTATTTAATTTCTGTTTTGATACTGAATAAATTCTATCAATCAGTTAAATCAATCAATCAATTTTCTTATTCTATGATAATAAATACGCAGTTTTCCGAACTTCCATGGAAATATGCCTAGTGATACGCATGTGCAGTGCTTCCATCAAGCAAGCTGATCTCTTTGGCATAGCTCTCACAGCCTTCTCCGATTCTGACATAGGCTAGGCCGATGGGCTAGAACTTCAAATTGTTTTTGTCTCGCTCTGTATATTTGCTTCAGTAGGCCTTATCATGCTATCATTTATTAGCAAGTCATTTTACCAGTACTATGAAATATTTCCTGGCAGTACAGTAGGTGGTGGGGACTTAGCCGGGAATGTACGTTAAAACGATGCCCTGCATTGCTGGGAGTTGGCCAAGACTTTCACATGCACGTATCCGTTTTGTAAATTACATCCCTGGCTAAGTCCCCGCTAGGCCCGGGGTTCCGGGACTACAAATTACAAGTGCATTATTATGAATTAAATGATGTAAGACTATGAAAAACATTTTTTTTAAAGTACATGAGAGTGCCAATTTTGAGCATCTATATGAGGTGCCATATACTTCGGAGGGTTAAGAAACATTGTCAATAATTTCAATCAATTACACTTTATAATACATCAAACAGATGGGGGTAAGAAACATTGCCAATGTTGACCATAGGAGTCGGTAGATTAAAACAGTTTAAAGAACCTAGATACCACAAAGCAAACATACAACTTGTTAGTAGTAAAAATAATGTTTGCCCATTTTATTTCATGAAGTCAACAAACCCTTTTTTCTTGGACTCTTTCAAATGCTATTTCAGCTGGAGTTCTTCTATCTCGTTTCAGTGCACTTGGGGCTTCGTCTGTTGAATCTTGTACAGTTGGTACTTGTTCTTTGAATTTCTGAAATTTCTTGCTCTTCTTTTTTTTCCTACAATAAATTTTAAGATTAAGCATTTCAAAACTAGATTCTATATATATAATAATAATAATAATAATAATAATAATATAATGATTTTTAACTTTTTTCATCCCTCTACTTTTTAGTAGTAGTAATAGTAGGCCTAGCCTAGCTAGGCTAGGGCCTACTGGGGAGCTGTTTTATAATCCCTGGGCCTACGTAGTACGTAGTACTCTAGGCTTAGGCCTAGCCCCTGTTGTGGGCCTGGCCTACTAAATTAAAAAGGCCAAATAGAACAATATTAAATAAAAATTATAGGAAAGAATTCCCAACAGTCTTCAACGAACTTACTTCTTTATGCCTAAATCTGATACGCCTTTTAGTTTTAGACTGCCTCCAGCACTCTGATATGGATTTGACATTGTACCTTACGCTGATTACTGCTTAGCGTTCAACCTTCTTCTTCCAAAGCAGGCCTTGGCCAGTGTGCAGCCAGTTTGTCATCAATCCAAAAACAAAAGCAAAAAAAAAGTGAGGAGTGGTGGCGGGCTTCAACAACGCAGTTCGCGACTCCGTCGTTTGGGCATGGCGTTCGTTTTGCTGTAACTGGCTAGGCCAAGTGTAAATACGGTAGATGTAGCTCAGTGTCTTAAAATGGCAAGGGAAAACAGGTTTGTAGACGACCGACGATTTATCTATATATCGGCCTAGGCCTACAAATTTTTAGACACACAATAATGGAAAATAAGCTAGGCCTAGGCCTTCCTAGGCTTAGGTCTAGCCGGTCGACCGTCTAGCCTAGGCCCTAGTGTGACATCCGCTCGAATTGACTGGCCGGTTCTCTCAACCACGATGTATTTTAGGACTAGGCGGTAGGCCTAGAGGAAGCAGGTCGACTCTCTCGGCCGGCCATAAGTCAACTCGGCCACAAGTTATTTATAATTAAAATGAAATGTAAATATTACTCAGTTTTTGCATCCTTTTTCTTCAGTATGATTTAAATGAAGTACACAGTATAGTTTAGTAAAATTCTGATCATCGTCGTGAGATCGTTGTATTCATTTCTTCACACTGTACTCTTATTCAACAGAGAAAACCCGCCACTTACATAATGGAATAAAATTTGACAATAATGTAACATTAACAATTTAAGCAATCTTAATAATTAAGAAAAACACATAGGCCCTATAAATGTTTTATTTTTTTCACGTTAAAACACTGACATAAAACATGAGTAGATACTGTAGACCTAGTCATAAAAAATTGAAATAGAAAAACCACATGATTTTTTAAATGTTAAAAATTTATTTTGAATCCGACTAAAATCAAATGAATGCACGACGATGGCGTGCATTTTCGATAATATTTTCTTTAGAACCACGCCCAATAATTAGGCCTACATTAAAATTAGGTGGGGTGCATAACATCTAGTATCAATTATCCACAATAGGAACAATTGGTATTGTTGAGTGACAGACATTTCTCTTCAGTCCTTCATATTTGTTTGACCAGGATGCATCCAATGTCGACGTGAATCACCAGTGAAACTTCCTTTTCAAATATTTACTTTAATATTTACTAATTAGTCATAATAACGATAATAAAGGTGATAACAATATTAATAGTAATATTTATTTTAACAATACTAATAGTAATAACACTAATATGGTAATAATAACGATAATTAAATATCTATTTCAATAATACTAATTAGTGATAATAATGATATTGAAGGTGATAATAGCAATAATAACAGCAATAATAAATTAAAGATAATGTTTATTTTTATAGTAATAGTAATAACTATTTTTTAATAATAATAGTGATGATACTTATAATACTAGGCCTACTTAGTAATAATAGGGTAATAATATCGATAATCAAGGTGGCAACAACAACAATAATAATAATAATATGAGAAAAATACCAATAAAACACCAATAACAATAATTTTAAAATTACTAATATTAAAATAATAATACTAAGACTATAATAATAATAATAATACTGTAATATGAATTAAAAAAATCAAGAATTTTTTTTAATTTTTTTTTTTTTATACTTGATGAATTACTCCCTCAAAATATAGTACCAGTAAATGACTTGTGGCCGAGTTGACTTGTGGCCGAGTTGACTGTAGCCGAACTTTTTGTGGCCGTGTTGACTGTGGCCGAGTTGGATCGAATTCGGCCTAACCCTAGCTAGGTCTAGTAGGCCTAGACTACTAGGCTCCTATATAGCCTAGGGCCTATAGATAAGCCTATATTCTAAAATTGATTAAATACGGAAGAATTTTTTTATACCTTGTTTATAATGCCAATAATGATGATTTTAAATTTTAAAAGAATTTAATATTTGGCCAATTAGGCTAGCGCACCACCTGCCACCACGAAAGTATGGAAATTTTAGAAAAATAATTTCGCGAAACAAGGTATAAAAAAAAGCTTTGCCTAAGCCTTTGAAGTAAAACTTCTAAATTGTCATATTTTTGGGGGTTCTTCAAATGATGATTGGATGAAATTGGTGACTCTGAAGTCTGATTTCATTATGTTCTTCTGGGGTAAACACACATGTTTTTGTGAACAAATATTTTAAAGGTGGCTAAATTTTTGGTCATCATGACAAAATTGAGAATGAGGCTATAATGCACACAGCCTAAAAACCCAATTTATTATCATATGTTTTTGTTTGGCAATAAAAAAAGAATAAGAATTTTATAATCGGTGTTTACAGGTCTGTATATCTAAGTCTTAATCCAATATATAATACTTGTTTATTTATTTATATTTCAGACAGTACCGAAAACGTTCGCGGTCAAACAGCAGTGATTCTGATCATGATAAAAAGACCAGAAAACGCTCACGTTCTCGAAGTAAAGGGCGTTCTAGAAGCCGTGAAAGAGAAAGAAAGCGCTCTCGAAGTAGAGAAAGAAATCGTGATAGAGCTAGAGAACGTGATAGATCTAGGGAACGTAATAGATCTAGAGAACGTAATAGATCGAGGGAGCGTGATAGATCTAGAAGATCACACTCACGTGAGAGGCAAAGAAGGAGGTTAGTGCTAAATTTACTGAATTTCCAATTTATTGAAATTTTATGTACAGTACTGTAAGCTGAAAGCTGCAGTATTTTATGTGTTGTATTTTGCCACTATAAAATCCAGCATGGGAGAATCTTATCTCCAGCAGCCACTTGTTGAACCTCCGTTTGTAACCTTTTTGAACTTTTTCCTTTAAATAGTGCATATTTATTTTTTTCCTGCCATTCTTTTGTATTGTATTGATTGATGATATCTGAATAAAGATTGATTAATACACACATTCAGACTGGACGTTATTTGCGATTAGTTATAGCAACTGCGACAACTAATTACACCGAATTACCACAGAATCCAAGCGCCACAAATCGCCTACCTAGTTCGGCTATCTTATAATCATTGTTAAGTGCTTTGGGCTATTATTCGTGTAAGGTGCTATATAAATCTAATTATTGTTATTAATATTTCATGGACACTGATTGGCTGAAGTCTTTTGATTCAATTCACATGTACAGTACACTTTTTTTTAAATGCAACAAGTTGTAACCAGGCTTTGGAGAGTGTGTGAGCAATGCATGTAAAAACTTTCTGAGATTTCCCAGGCCAGGTCCTAGGCCTATAGGGCTCTCTAAAGCCAGGTAATGATTAATTGTGTCACTCACAATTTAGGTTTTGGTCAGTATATGCAGGCCTACCGTTCATACAAAGTTCCATCTTCTTAAAATTCAGTGTAACAAAAAATGGTTGTTAATGTACTGTATAATACTTGTATTTTCATGAGGGGTGACTGGTTTCTTGCTCATTCAAGCATTTTTAATGAGTTTTTTACAAACTATTCATAGTTTAACTTAATGATCCACAAATTAATACTGTATATATGATACATAATGAAAAATTGGTTTGGAATTGATAAAAAGTGGATTCAGAAATAATTCTATTAGAAGGTTATTTGGAATTATCATTATGGATTTAATTTTTTAGGCATAATGGCCAAATGGCACTATAGTATTGAACTTGGCAAGACAAACACAAGAATTTCTCTACGTAAACTCAACTTATTAATGCTAAAGATGAATTTTGCTTTTAGTCCCGAGAAAAAAATCCTGTCACTTGAAAAGACTTAAACCCAGCACCCTGGGATTATAAAGTAAGCATCTTAGTCATTAATATATAGCTTGGGGAACCCTCCTAATTGATCCCTAATCTGCCCTTCATTATATTTTTTTTTTGTCAGACGTTCGAGGAGTAGAGAAAGAGTTAGAAGAAGGCGATCACGATCACGAAGCAAAGACCGATATCAAAGGGGTCGGAGTTACGAAAGAAGTGATAGAAGACAGCGGTCAAGATCCCCTCGACGTGAACGACGTTCAAGGAGCCGCAATCGTGATCATGAGAGGAGATCACCATCTCCAAGTAAGGACAGGAGTCGCAGTCGCAAGTCTCGTTCAAAGAGCAAAGAGAAATCACAAGAGAAAGAGAAGATTGTTAATAGAAAGGAGGATGTAGTGAAAGAGGAGCCATCTATTGTAAAAGAAGAAAAAGAAGAAGATAAAGGAATGATGTTGGTGAGTTAAAAAATAATAAAAGATTGTTGTGCTTTAATTTTTAATTTAAGTTTTTAACTTTTATGCATTGATTCTAGTACAGTAGAACCTCATTTGTAATAAGGTATGTAAATTTGGGGAGGTCACATTTTACCCAACAATCAAACCAACATTAATTTGCAGAAAGTTAGTCATAAAAATGTATTATGCGTTTTTCAGAAACCTATTAAAACCGCTTAAAGGGGCCCCAGTTACCTAGAATAGACCCCTTGGAACTTTAAAGGGTTAAATCAAGTGTGTTAAATTTGTGGTGACCTTTGACCTAATAGGTACCGAAGACTCAATAGACATACTGTACAGTATGTTATGAACTGAAGATGTTACCTACATGATATACGATTGTCATAAGGCGAGACTTTTTAGTTCCTATGCATGTAATGCAATAGGAACTATTGTAATCACTCTTAGTCACATTTCTTTTGTTTTTTATTGTGTGTAGTATGTGTGTGCGTATATGTGTGTAGACATTTATGCAAATACGCATGCGTCAAAGAAAAGTTTTCCGACATTTTGTTTTACATCCCGATGCGAAGTTCGATGTGAAGTTTCTGCAGAGTTCAGTTAGGGCTCACGCTAACCGATAGGCAAGTCGGCATGCATGAAACTATTTTGGTTTTACGGCAAAAAAAATTAACTGCTGTGGCATAAGTATTTTGAAGAAGGCCTAAAATAAAACAAAAAGGTTTTAATACTTGCTGAAATACATCGTTTTTTCATTTAGATCTCCATTTTTTACTAACTCAATGCGACGTTTTTTTCTGTTGTATGAGTAGTCCATAGAGCTATTAAAAAACTAGAGTGTTGACAAGATGGCGCAGCAATGCAGAGTTATGTATGTGTACCATCCAAGATAGCCGTCGTAGTAAAGCGCCACCTTCAGGCTTAGTATACATATTATTACATATTAATAAGCCCTCTGGCTGACTATTATTTCATTAATGATAATGAGTATGGTAATAATAAATTATTAAACTATTGTAGCCAAAACGAGGCCAAGTGGTGCATCTTATTCAAAAATAAAATACCAAGGAATGAAAATTAAAATCGTGTACATTACACCCAAACACCTCAACGCTCGAGTTTCAAACATATGGGTAACTAGCTGTACTGAACCCTCTGAGTAAATTGAGGGCGCAATTGCAAATGATGAATGAATGAAATTTGATTGGCTAAATCTATGGCAGCCATCTTGGATCCCCGTCGGGGAAGCTTAGCGTTATATTTTGTCGGGGAACAAACAAATAAAAAAAAATATTTACATGTAATATTCGTTTAGCCACCGTATTGTTTTCATCACAACAACAACAACAATAACAATAATAATAATAATAATTCAATGAGACTAATTAAAAATAATTTGCGTTCGTTCTGTTATGACAAATGCTCATTTGGATAGCCTCATGATGGTTGGAATACAT